ATGCGTTTGCGTTTCTTCAGTTGAGATTTGATGGTTTGTTAGGCTTTCCCGGAGGTATTGTCGATGAGGACATCACTTCTATTGAGTCCATCATTGATGCCTTACAGCGAGAAATGCGCGAAGAAGTAAACTTTTGTGATACCATTGCTGTTGAGGACTATTTCTATACGTTTTATAACAAGCAGAAGGAAATAGTATCGCATTTCTTCGCCAAACAATTGACTCTAAAAGAGGCCGAAAAACTGGAGGAAACCCATACGAAAGCCCGAGACTTCCCAAACGAGTCGTTGGGATTCTTCCGGATACCCATTGGCTGTTCACACGACAGGAACTCCTTTTATTTGAGACGATTCGCGAAGAACTTTATGCAACAGAAGTTCTGTGGAAATGTCAAGAAACAGATCATTGATGTCTGCGAGAAGTTTAAGATAATGTCCGCATCTGATCTCCAATGGATCAAGTCTCAGCTTTAAGATAATTACCAAACATATCATTGCCATAATTACCTGAACTTTTGCTTATGTTTTGTTTTATACCGAATTTTTCAAATCAAGTTAAAATCAATATAGTTTCTTTTTAAAGTAATTCATTTATTTTATGAATTTAAATAGTTTAACATATAATTTAAAGATTTTTATACGAATAAACATTTGCATCATACTATAATACTGTATATGAATTATATTATATGAGCCTTAAAGAACCAGATAGACGCTAGCTATTTTTATTTAATTAATAATTTGACTCAGAATCCAATTATTCATAAAATATTCATAGGTTTACAGTAAGATTGTAACTATAACTTATCAGAGTACAAGTAAAATATTACTAATTATTTATATATAAAAAATAGCTAGCGTCTATCTGGTTCTTTAAGGCTCATATTATATTATATACCGTATGTTTAAGAATTGTGGCGTTTTTTGTCCGAATTACACAAATTATGATAAATATTGTGAATAACTCGAGCTTTTCTAATAAAACAATTTGTCATGTAATTACAGTTAACATGTTTACTAATCATATCAATTGTGCAATAAATGGTTTGCTTTGATCATATTTATCAAATCAATCCTTTTTGTCTGTTTTGTGATTTTCATGACATTTTGTGTTAATTTTCGAAGTTTTCCATACATTATATCCTCTGATAATAAGAGCCAGAGAACCGACAAATTTCCAGATCGTGAGGACACCAAAAGCCATCGTCGGCACGAATAGCACTTTGAATATATTACCGGTGTCTGAGAGCATGGCTTTGATGCCACCGAAGATAATCATAGCGAACAGCAGTGGGAACATAAAGGCGCCGATCAGGACATGTCGTCTCACTGACGGCTCTTCTTGTAACCAATCGGTAAAACTGGAGTTTTGTCTGTATTTGATGCGGACATACCTGGCCTTACATTCACAGCAGAGCACATCATACCGGGCCCTCTGGAACCATACGGTCAGACACTTGCGGTGAATATGACTGGACTGACCCACACATGAACACGGATTGTAAAGCAATTGATTGGTATCTCCTTTCGTGTGACATATCCGACAGCAGAGACTCTCCGAAGTATCACTACTATGGTCTCCAACTTTGGATCCGTTGATATCTTCAGTAATTGGTTTCCTGAACACAAATTTCTTAATATGATTATTCAAATGATTTATCAAATGATTCATGTTTTCATGTTTGTTGTCAGGGATATAACGGTTTGTTGTGAATGCTTGCAATCAAATATAACAAACAAATTGTCTTTTCAATCAATTCTTTATCGATTCATACGCTAACCTATACTGACAAGTGAGTACAGCCTATTAAATACTGCACTACTTATACACAATATTCAACAAGTATTTCTATTATAATAGTCATTTGTTGGGTGTTTACAAAAGTTGTGGTAAAACTATGTTACTATAAAAGTGGGTATATTTTTGATTTATTGGGGGTTCGGTAGACAGACGGCCCACTGAACCCCGGGAGGACAGGGAGGACAGGGAGGAGAAGGAAAGGAAGGATTTGAAGATAGATTTAGATTAAGACTAATACTAATACGGATTAAGGATATCCCCGACTAACCCAATACTGTACTACAAATAATAAATGTAATAATGTTTGCAAACTGTGGACATCATATGAATAGTAGTGTTAGTGTTGAGTGAATGCATTGAAATTGATGTCAAATTTGGCGCACAATTGGTGTTTGCTTTGCGTTTGCGTTGTATTGTATTGAGTGAACAAATCATCACAACATTGACTCATTGGATCAGTTGATCACTATATCACTGGACACACAGACACAGACATACGATGACCAACAAGGAGGTGATGGCGAGTGACACGAGTGGCGAGAAGTGGCACATCATATACCCTCAGTATATCAACGCCAATACCACGCTATATATGGGCCGAAGACTGGCGAAGACTGACTGCGTGTCTGATCCGAAGTCGACTGAAATCAAAGACGTGTTGGAGGCCATGAACTGCTTCCAAGTGGTCTGTGATCTCAGTAAATGCTATTCACGCGAAGTGGACAAAGAGTTGGCCGCCAACAGGGGTTATGTCAAGTATTGTCTCATTCGCGACAAACAGTCACAAGAAGTGATCGAAAGCAACAAATTTGATGATAAGAAGCATGTCTTGAGATATGTCTCCAAAATGATACCCAAACTGAAGAGCAGATCCAAATCGGCGACCAATCAAAGCACACAACAGAACCCACAGAATAGCACTCAAACCAATCAGAAGAAGAACAAGAAGAAGAAGTGATGCGAGTCTTCATCCAATTCACTGACATTTGCATTCATTTAGAGTTTAATTGAATTGAAAATTAAATTAAAATTTATTACAATTTTAATCCATTTATTGAATGGCTTTTCAAAAGTATTATCCTTTGAGTAGATTTACACTCAAAGTGAACTCAACTCCGGCTGTCACTGGCAGTGGATGTGCCGGTTGGTAGACATACTGTGCATCTGTGGTCAGGAGTGACCTCCACTTTGAACACCTGATGGGTTACTAAAATCATTTATATTAAACAGCGAGAAGTGTTTGGTTTATACATCATGTCATTCGTCGCCGATTATGACACTATCATGAAGTGAGGCCTAATGTCTCCACAGTTTCATAATTAGTAACTAAACTAATGCTCTCTTCTGAGGCTATGTTTGCGGACGAGTTGTGATGCTTTCGCTTATGAGCTGTCAATCTATTCAATGATTTGATTTGTATTTGATTTGTATTAATATTTCATTTCAAGTATACATTCAAACACATCAATACTGACGGCGTTTGTTGCGATGACTTGAAGTCACAGTTGGGGTAATCGCACACAAATGGCTTCTCTTTGGTGTGCGTCCGCTCGTGATTTCGCAGAGTAAAGGGTCGACTGAATCGGGCCTCACATCCAACCCAATTGCAAGCGTATGGCCGCTCGCCTGGAATCATATGAAGCCTATGTTTATTGATACTTCGCAACTGGAGCCACACTACATACCGGTGTGTATTCTCTTGTGGTCGGCTATCTTATTGTTAGCACTACTCCACTCACATCCCGGCCAATTGCACCTGTATTTCGGGTACAGGTGTTCAGGACATTCAAAACAGGGTTTAGATTTGATTTGTAGAGCAAAATATAGTGGAGATGAGGACTCACTTGTATGGCTTCTCTCCCGTATGTATGATTTTATGTCGTTTAACGTTATAACGAGACGGACCTGGATACAAATTGATACAATATGGATATGGATACAAATTGGAGTCATATTTGCTATCAAAGGGTTGGGTGTTTGACAAACCCATGAATGAACATCCGGGCCAATCGCATGAGAACTGATACCTTCCGGTGTGGCTCTTCCTCACGTGTCCGATCAGATGACTCCTGAGTACAGCCCTGTATTGGCAGGACTTGTATTCGCAAAACCATGGCTTCGGACCCGAGTGTCGGCTCTTGTGAGCCATCAAAGTCTCGGCGTTTTTACACACTTTATGACACAATATCCCTGACTTGGAGTCCGCGAAATCACAACAAATAGCATCACTATTGTCCGCATCCGTGTCATCCATACCATCCCTGTCTACCTCCTCATCACTTTCATTATACTGATGGTCGATATCAACACTTTTATTAATGGTCTCAATGTTCTCGATATTTATGTAAATAATGTTTGGCTTTTCATTGCCTTTACTACTATTCTTGGGATCAACCGATGGTTCATGAATTTCTTTATCACTTGTCATCCAATCACTCGTTTCGTTCATATCATTGTCATTGTCTTCGTTGTCCAACTGATCCATCTCTGGTTCAGTCAATGAGTCATCCGTTTGTTGTTCACTCTTAACGACAATCATATCATTAGTCAAAGTGTTCATTGAATCCAAATCTAATTCACTCTTCAGTTCTTCGTATTTATGGTTCAAAACATTGAGTTTGGTCTTCAATTTGGTGTCATTTGATTGGTTACATTAACGACAATCATATCATTAGTCAAAGTGTTCATTGAATCCAAATCTAATTCACTCTTCAGTTCTTCGTATTTATGGTTCAAAACATTGAGTTTGGTCTTCAATTTGGTGTCATTTGATTGGTTACACAAACACTTATTCATGCGATTTGTCAGCAATTGTCTCATTGTCTCAATCGTGGCCAACAATCTCTTCATTATCTCGTTATCCGATCGCAAACTCTTCAACTCATACATCAATTGTTCCACTTCTTCATCAGACATTTGTCTCAATTCTTCCACGTCTGAAGACATTGTCACTCAATCGATGGCAACACCACTATTGTCAACACATTTAACAGATGTCTTCAATGTCTTCAATATCTTAGCAGTGATTCAATGATTGATTCATTGATTCAATGATTGATTCATTGATTCATTGATTCATACAAATGACACTCAAATTCACTTTCAAACACAACAAACATTGTAAACAATTGTTGTGTTTATACATGTGTTCATACATTACGCTATTATATGAATCACATTCTTGGGCACAGATTCTGTATTCATATTCTGTATTCATATTCTGTATTCACAACTTACAGTAGACTGTCTTAAATTATACAAATTATAACTTAATTTAACTATAGATTTAATAAAAGTGATATTTTATCAATTACAACTTAGTAGTACAATTTCTATGAACTTACAGGTAGAGTTAATTAATTTTCTAAATCACATATCTTTATAAATCATTGCATTTTATCCTAAATATAGAAATTTAACATGCTTTAATTGAGTATTTGCCGGTATATTTAAAGGAAATTTTAAAATAATTTAATTTTATCACTAGTTTATTTTTTTCTTTAATTAAATCTAGCGCAATAAAACCTTAAATATGATCTTGTTAAATAATTTACTTAAAACTTATACCATCAATTTTAAATATAAAAATCCAAACATATAACAAACTTCTACATCAGAATACGTTATACAATAACCGATTTATAATGTAGTTTTAAAATAATTATTACATGTTACGTTATACATGTTAATTGTAAATTAGAAAATGTAATGTAAATATTTTTTATATTCTAAAAATATTAAAATCTTAATGGTTAAGGAATATTAGTGACAATTCAGTGAATTATTAAAGTAGACATAAACTATTGAAAGTTAACGTTAATTTTTTTAATATAAGGAAAGTTTGTTAAAAATTGTTGTGTATTTTACGATCAATTAATTAAAGACTTATTTACTTCTAATTAAATTACAATTTAAAAGTCTTTTATAAATATTGATTACTTTGAGATACTGTATATAAAATTATTATTTCTTTACTTAAAGCAACTGTTGCTATGCTTTATGCATATAAACACATAACTTGTTCTACTTATCGATTATATTACTTATATTTCTTATATCTATATTTTATATTACAAACTAAATTATATAACTTTAAATTTTTTGTTTAAATATAAAATGTAAATATAGTTCTTAATGCTTTATGTAATTAATTCATTTTCCATTAAATATAAATTGCGATCTCATTAATGAATTAATCAAAAATGCTATTTGTGGATATATAAGTCAAGAAGTAAAATAAATTCATATACTATACCTTAATTAAAATATAGAAATAACTATTTTTATTATATTGTATATCTGCATCTTATTATTGATTGGATTTATTTTCAGTTTATTACATTTACTTTCTTATAGTATTGTGTTTTAAATAAATTACATCTATTTCTGAACGACATTCTCAGGAATATTACGTACGGTAGATATCATAACTTTTCATTGCAACAGAAGTAATTGAGTTTGTATTAAATAGATTTATATTATGGGTATATTATTTCAAGAATTTATTGTAAAGTCATTTAATTGTAAAAACTTATTAAATATCAATTCTGCAAAAACCACTTTGGGTTCCCAATATCTAATTAGAGTTATAGTACAGTAGTGCCAACTTTTAAGGAGTCCTTCAATTGATCACAAGACTAATGATTTCTTTGGTATTATAAAATTCCCAAATTTTTACTGTAAGTATATTTAAACATATTTTTGTAAGTATTGTTTTTTACAACGTCAAATTTGCACAATAAGTTAATAGACTATTATAGACTATAGAATAGAGTAGACCGGATAATCCAGTTTATATTCTTATCTCAAAGTCACGGTCTCTATGAAAGTTCACTACTCTGTCAAGAATTTTGTGGATTCTTAACATATTTCCGCCTTAAAAGTCAAAGTACTTTATAATTTTATCGATTTTGGCATTTATTCAGTTATTAATATTTTGTCTATAATCTTAACTAGTAACGTTATTATCAAAAAAGTAATATACTATATATGAAAATTATAGAGAAGTATAAAAAGATATACTTTTAAAGAATACAACAAATATTTGCTCCAAATTATGACTTCCCGGCACTTCCATGTACTATATTATCACGAAATAGCTGTGAAATTTATTCATTTATTTGTCAATCCTTTTATGTATTTCCCAATAATTGTTTACTTAACACTTTCCTGGCCTTCATTTCTCAGAATCAATATATAATTGTATTACAAATAATTTTATATCTATATTTGTATGAATACTTTAATTTATTTTCATATTTTTATTTAAATATCAAAAATCATTTTAATAGTTGCTATTTTTCTTAATACTATTCGTTTATTTTTCATGTAAAAATAACTTTATAACTTTGCTAAAAATATTTTCGTCCATAAACTTTCGCAATGAATGTCAGTGTCCATAATATACTTATAAATTATTAGTTATAATAATATATTAACACATATCGAGTAGAATTTTGTGTCATAAATACCCATTAATTCAATGATCAATTTGCTA